AGTTCTTGGTTTTTTTTTTGCTTTTTTCTTTTTAAATTAGTCCTTGCTGCCTTTCTGTACTAAACATAAGCCAAACAATACAATCAAATAACAATCGCTGTATATCTCTGAGGCAGTGTATGTGGTTCTTTGGAGTTGGGACTCAGTTTGGGGTATAAGAAAAAAGAGGAGGAAGAAGCAGGAATTTTCAAGTCCTGAACTGGCTTCCACCCCCATTATCTCTGGATTTGCTCCGTCTCCTTCCTCTGACTTAGTATTTTCTCTTGCTGCATAAAGAAAAGGCAAGAACAAAATAATTCACCGATTATTAGCTCTATAAAAGTCATTCTAAAACTGAGACCGGATGGTTGTCTGTAACAGGTGCACGCAGACTTTGAACAGGTAATCAAATAAGTGCTCTGTGGCTGATTTTCATGCTTCCACGTGGAACCGTCCGGCGAGGCGGCCCTGGTGAGCAGCGCCACTCCAGCAAAGCACACGCACGCGAGCAGGGCCAGCAGGGCTGGGAACAGAGAATACCAGCGGGTAAATGAGCCACAGAGACGGTGCCAGCAGCTGCACTCCTTTCCTTCAAAAAAGAAAAAAGTAAAATAAATACATTTTCACACTTAAAAAAATCCTGATGCTCTTTCCATATCGGAATCTTTTGGGGATGTTAAGAGATAGAAGCAGTGTGCAGTCCCCTGTGTAATTTTGCCCGTTAGTCCATGGACAGCATGTCTCTTAAAAGATCCCTTTAGGGACTTCATTTGTGCAAAGCTCACAGGGAAAAGTTCTCTAAAGCCACCATTTAACAATGAAACAAAGCGGTTAAACCCTGAAGACATTACGCTAAGTGAAATAAGCCAGTCACAAAAGGACAAATTGTGTAGGATTCCACTTACAGGAGATACTTGGAGTAGTCAAAGCCACCGAGACAGAAAGTAGAATGGTGGTTGCCATTCTGGGGCTGGGGGAAGAGGGGAGTTATTGTTTAATGGGTACAAAGTTTCACTGTGGAAGATGAAAGTTCTGGAGGTGGATGGTGGTGACGTTTGCACAGAAAGGTGAATGTACTTAATGCCACTTAACTGTACATTTGAAACTGATAAATTTTATGTTATTCATATTTGATCACAATAAAAAAAGTGAAGCAAAGTAGGGTAAGGAAATAAACTGAGGTAGTAAAGTGAGTAGGATGGATATCTTTTCCTGTCTGTTGGGGTCAGAATAAAGGGCATAATAGGGTTTTGACTTTTTGTTTCTTTTTGCTATATAAACTATGATTATTGTTTCTCCCCCTTCCTCACTCTCTCTGGAAATAATGATGACGGAAAAGGATCTTTAGTTCCAACTACAAAAAGAGCGGCAGAAATAATCTTGTGTCATTCCAAATAGGCTTTCTTCCCTGCTCATATGGCCTTGTCTTCTTCCTATTTCTCTCTAACAGGACAGCTGGATCTGATGGGAAGTCCCAAGAAGAGTCCAGCATCTTTCATACACAGTAGAGGCTCAATAAATAACACCTGTGGGCTGGGCACGGTGGCTCACACAGTAATCCCAGCACTTTGGGAGGCTGAAGCAGGGGGATTGCTTGAGGCCAGGAGTTTGAGATGAGTGTGGGTAACATAGCGAGATCTCATCTCTACAAAAAAATAAAAATTATCTGGGTGTGATGGTGCATGCTTATAGTCCTAGCTACTTGGGAGGCTGAGGCAGGAAAATTGCTTGAGCCCAGGAGTTCAAGGCAGCAATGAGCTATGATTGTGCCACTGTACTCTAGCCTGGACAACAGAGAGAGACCTTGTCTCTAATAAAACAAACAAACAAACCCGTGAAAATTGAAAATTTGCCCTTTGACAAAATATGTATTTCATAAAGAAGCTCTTTTTTTAACCCACTAAATCAGAATCTACTAAAGAGGGGAGGGGGTCTCCCAAAATGCAGAGGCTCCCTGGGCTGTCCTTATACATCAGCACTGCACAACAGGCAAGGTGAACAGAATAATATTTTGAGGTTAGGTTATATTTTCCCTTTCCCTGTCTCTTCATTTACTCAGTTATCTGAGCATGTTCCTTGAACTGGGGGAAATTCGGGGCAGAACACTATGGAACAGTCCAGAGGAGAGCTTGTGACCTGTAGGCTCCATTAGGCCTCAGATAAGCTGGGTTTTGCCCCTCACAGTATTGGTCTGTACAATGTTTTGCTGAAATGTAAATTTGTACATGTTTAAAAATCGGGAGACTTCACATAAAAATCTGGGTTTCAGGCTTTTCTTTCAAAATGTGAAGACAGGGCTGGGCGCGGTGGCTCACGCCTGTAATCCTAGCACTCTGGGAGGCCGAGGTGGGCGGATTGTTTGAGCTCAGGAGTTCGAGACCAGCCTGAGCAAGAGCGAGACCCCGTCTCTACTAAAAATAGAAAGAAATTAGATGGACGAGTAAAAATATATAGAAAAAATTAGCCGGGCATGTAGTCCCAGCTACTCGGGAGGCTGAGGCAGGAGGATCGCTTGAGCCCAGGAGTTTGAGGTTGCTGTGAGCTAGGCTGACGCCACGGCACTCACTCTAGCCTGGGCAACAGAGCGAGACTCTGTCTCAAAAAAAAAAAAAAAAAAAAAAGTGAAGACAGCCCCAGCAACCGTGTTTACCCACTTGACAGCAACCAAGTGGAGCTGAACTTCTGCCATCACATTTAGGATGGTGTATTAATTAGGATAATGTGAGCCTCTGTAACAAATAGCCCCTCAGACAGCAGTGGCATAACACATGAGAAGGCCATTTCTCACTTACATACGACAAGTCCAGTGCAGGTGACTCAGAGACCCAGGGCTCCTTCCTTGTGTGTCTCCACCATCCAGGAGGGCCAAGTCTTCTGTTTTTAGCCTGCGGAATGGGAAAAAGAAAGTGGAGAAGCACACCCATTTCTCAACCGCCTTGACCTGAAAGTGACACACATCCATTTGACTCATATTCCCCCAGGGAACGCAGTCATGTGGCCCACCTAGATGCAAAGGGAGCTGGGAAATGGGGAGCTTGCTGGGGAAGCCACTTCCTGCTGTCAACTCTAACCCATGGATGGGGGACCACAAATGTGTGGTGGACACATGCACCTCTGCCACAAATAGGTGTGTGCACTCAACTCGCCACAGTCCCCACTGCTTGTTTCATATCCCTCAGTGGCCCCTGGAGGCATCTGAGTTTGTGGCTCTGGTTTAATGTGTTCATGGACAGAGAATGCAAAAACATGAAAAGAGATGGATTTTTCCTTAGACTGAAAAAGAGATTCTGCCGGGCTGTCAGGAAGGGAGAGACAGAGGTCAATGTGCTCTGAGAGCAAGGGATGTGTGACCCATCTCACTGAAATATGGTCTTGGAAACTGCAGGACCAAGTGAGGAATGGCTGCATGGCATGTCTTAGCAGAGGAGGCAATATCTGCTCTCGCCCTACCCCAAATCCCTGTGCCACCTGTGGGATATAGAAGTAGTAGAGCTAGTCATCTGAAGCAGCCATGTAAACCTGGACAGTGGAAACAACTCGGCCATATTTTCTGGGGACAGAGGACCAAATGGATGTGTGGTCCCTCCTCCCAACCCACTCCATGGGACTGTGTAAATCCCTGGGGTTAGGAACTCTAGGAAGAATTAAGGCTAACTTCCTTACTCCCCCACAGATCAGCTGCTAGGGGTTTAAACTGAGTTATTATATAAAATAATGGATATGTGACACTTCTTGCATGCATGAGTTTATGCATGAGTCATACTCTCTGGTCAATTTTGCAATTTTCTGAATGAAGGTACTGAAGAAGGCAGTGTCCTTTTTCATTTGGCCTTTTTCTAGAAACTTTGCCCTCCAACTCCCAGACCCAGAGCTGGACTTCTGCTCCCAGCCTTGTCCGCCCACATACTCAAGACAAAAAAGCAAACAAAAGCCCAAACCCTGTGAGATGATAAGCCTTCTCAAACTGGGGTAGTTGCGCTGTGCATATTCAGTTTTACTCAAAGACGTGGAAAAATATTTTCGTATTAAAAGAAACGAGGTTAAATTATGGAGTAGAATGCAACATTCACATTTAAAAAAAAATGATGAAATTCCAGACCTTAAAGGAACTTTTTTCTTGCAGAGAAGGGGGCCTCCCTGTTTCAGAACCCCATGTGGGTCTCCACTGGGGTTCTTTTGAGAACAATTCTGTGGAAAAGTTTTAGCAGCTCTGGCGCTGCGCCCGGCCTGGCTCAGGGCCTCCTTCCTCTGGCTTAGGCTGCAGCTCCCGATGGTGTCGCGTCCTGTGAATATCTCCTCACGTTTCTAAACGCACAGCTTGTCAGTGTGGGCGCAACCTGAGAGCTGTGGCCAGGTTCCAGCTCACTTGCTTCACTCGCTTGGAGAATCCGCGACTTTAGGGTACTTCTAGGGGGCATCCTGGCATCCCAGGCCAGTGCTCCCCCCTCGTCCTTGGCTACATCCATTCTTTCATCCTGCAGGAACTAGGGACCCAAGTGCAATACAAAGAACTTTGTCCACCCGCTACCCCCAAATCCATCCTTCACCCTGCCCTTCCATCCTCGAGGGTCCTGTCTCTCCACTGGGGTATCTGGGGTCTGTGGGTGTGCTTAGAAAAGTTTGGCGAATTAATGGCTTCTGGTTCTGGAACAAATGCATCAGAGCCCATCTCTAGGGCTGGTGGAGGACGGGTGGGTGGATGAGCCCGTCTGGCCAAGAGAGAGGGGCTGGGGTCACTGTCGAAGGACCGGAACGGGCCTGATGGAGGCTCAAAGGCGCGAACGTGTGTTGGCAGGGGCAGCCTCTTTCCGCCGCCCACGATGCTCAGGCTGGCGCTCAGCCGAACTGGCTGGCTGTTGCAATCTCCGCACGCCTTGCATTGATCGAAAGGCGGGTTGAAACAGCAAACCCGAGGAGGAGCAACTGCTCCCAGACTCAGCCCGAGAGCGCGACCAATGAGGATGCGCACTCCTTCGCACTAGCCAATCAGTGAAGGGCCTGCAACAGCGCGGGCCAATGGGGCGCCGGCTCGGCTTTGGGGCAAGGCAGGGGTCGGAGCCCGCCGCAGACTTGCACCACAGCGGCCCAGAAAGGCTCGCTGTCCGTGTATTCGGTCCTCCTTGGCGACTTGCTGCCCTTGCAGCCGCACCATGGACGCCCCGAGCCAGGTTGTCAACTTTGGGCCCGGGCCCGCCAAGCTGCCGCGCTCGGTGAGTTCCCGCGAGCGCGCGCCGGGTGTGCGGTCGGGGCGGGAGCATGCGCGCGGTGGGTTCGCATCCAAGCCTCGGGAACTGGGATCTCCGCTCCCCGCCGCGAGGCTCCTAGACGCTTTGCACTTGCGTGCACGCCGCGTTCAGTAGCGCTCGCGAGCTGGCTTCTGGAAGAATGCAGCTGGTGCACGGAGCTCGGTGAGGCGTGCCTGTGCAGCTGCCCCTGGCGCCGGCTGCCGCCGGTGCGAGGCGTGCACGACTCGGGCCGCCGGTGCATGCTGTCCCGCGGGTGCAGGCACCTGTAGACTCTGGGCTGTGCCTTCTCCAGGGCCCGGCTGTGCCGGGGGCGGGGCGCGGCCGAAAAGAAAGCTCCCATCTCTGCGCTCGCCTCACGCCTTTGTGCGGAGAGCACGGGCAGTGTGGAGCGGATGCTTGAATGGACAGTGAATGAGTGAACGACTGGATGGTGGGTTTTGCACACGGCAGTGGATCACGTTAACTGAGGGGGATTGCAAACTGAAGGCTCGCGTGTCCCTCCTCCACTCCGCCTCCCAGTGTTTGGTTTACTCAGCACTTGGGAACACTGCTTTTCAGAAATGTGAAGTTGAAAGCCTTCAGAGCTTTTCCCTCCATATCCCCCAGAGAACCTACTCTTGCTTAAAGCCTTTCTCCACTCTTTTTTTCAACCTGTTTATCCCCTAAAGGCATTCGGGTATTCACACTCTGGTAGGCACTGGGCTGTTTAACTCAGTTCTGTTCAGTTTGTTCTGGAGCAAACAGAACGATTGAATTCTCCACCTAGACTCTCCCAGACTTTGCAAGTGCAAGTGGAACTCACTCCCTGCCTTCCCAGCGCCTCGCCTCCCCCCAACACCCCCCATCCCCAGCCCCACCTGCTGGGAAGAAGGCAAAGTCTCTGACGTGACTTGAACCCATTGACAGGCAGCTGCCGCCGCTGATAATTTTATTTTTCTAACCAGGATAAAGCTGATAGTAATGTTGCAACAGCAAGAGGCATAGCCAAGTATTTTACAATTATCAATTGTTGAACAGAGTAGAAATCTCCCCAGGACAGAGCCGCCTCTGTGTTATGGTAAGAACAGAGAATCTTACAATTTTAGAGGGAAAGGACATCTTGCGTTTCTAGGGGCAGCGCTCACAGTAGCAGAAAGAATGGGGCTTATTTTTTCTCAGTTATTACAGTTCATTTTAGGTAAGATTCCTTGCTCTAATTGTGGATACGTTTCCTATAGTCTCCTCCTGCCCCCAGTGCTTTGGAGTCTTCCAAATATTTGTTCCCTGTGTATTTTTTTACGAATTTATCATAATGGCAATTGTCATCAGTAATACAATTATTTCTTCATTATTTTCCTGGGAGGATTTTTGCCCTCAGATGCTCTGTAACCTGGGGTAGGGGGACGGGGAGAGGGGCAGATATTGCTTCTTATGTGTCTTCTTGATTTAGTTGAATTGTAAAAATTAGAGAAGCTTTCAACCTTTTTTGACTGTAACCTACAATGAAAAATATATTTTAACAAAATGGCAAAGTATATACATACAATTATAAAAATAAAAGCCTTATGAAATAATGTTTAGCCTAATTATCTGTGACATACACTATTTTGTATTCTGTTCTGCTCTAGTCTGTTCTATTTCACTAAAAAAATTAGTTGTGATCCACAAAAGTGATTGCATTTTGCAGTTTGGAAAGCACCCCACTGAATTGGGGGATGTGGTTTTTAAATAGAAGGCTTTAAAACTCTTTGTAATGATTTTGGTTATAAACTTTTACAGATGTCTTTTCAAGGAATACTGTCCATAAGAAAAATATAGTCTTAGAACAAGTTCAAAGATGATTCTCTCACAGATGAATGTTTGTTTCCTAAAGGATTCACTAAAGTTTATTTGATCAGCCAGTGCTAACAAGCATCCAACATTTCAAAAAACAGTGATAGGTTCTTGAAGCTGGTTGTTGAGGCAATCTTTTTTTGTCTGATTCTTCATTGTTACAGTACTGTTTTTTCAGACAAGTTGCATTCAGGGTTAGGTTAGTCTTATGTTTTAATGATGTCCTCCTACATGGTCTCTTTTAAAGAAATGATCTCCCATTTGTAGACCTTCTCTTGTGGGCTGCTTTTAGTGAGGGTCTTTTGCATTTATTTTATGTTCATTTTTAGAGCTTTTTTTTTCTCTTTATTTTTTGTTGTGGAAATCCTCACATACACAAAGACAGAATATAGCGAACCTACAAGGACCCATCTCTATCAACATTTTGCCAATCTTGTTGCAGCATCCTGGGACGGATCTTACTTCACAGCGGCTCTTCCTTCTTCCTGCCTACCCCACCTGTCTCAGTCTAGCACCTTAGACCAAAAGAGATTGGAAAATTGAGTTATCTGTATAATTTGGATATAATTTTTTTGTTGTTGTTGTTGTTCCCAGAACCCAGCACTTTATGCATTCTGTACTTTATTTAGGTTTAGGAAAGTGGTGAATGAAATTCGTGAAGGGGATATTTTCTAGGGAATGAGTAAATTCATGCCTTTGGAAAAAGTGTACCTTATCATCAATCATGTTGCCTAATTCTATGCTCAACTTGTGTGTAAATTGCATCATCACAGGCTTTGTAGGAACATGGGGAGGGAGGTGACTGGCTGTGGGCGGGGACAGAAGCCAGGGGACCTTACTGGCCTGTGGGTAGACCTCTCCTCCTCAGGTTTATATGTACAGAGGAAAAGCTGTGCACAGCATATTGAAATCAGCTTCTTTTCTTTTCTTTTCTTTTCTTTTTTTTAGGTGTTGTTAGAGATACAAAAAGAGTTATTAGACTACAAAGGAGTTGGCATTAGTGTTCTTGGTAAGATTTACTTTTGAATTCTGTGAATGTCCAGGTTTCAAAGGGAACTAATTTAAATGCCTCAATCTTAGAATTTCTACAGGGTCTTCCTATAGGCCTTTGTAGATAAATCTTTAACCTTTAATAACTTGAGTTGCATGTTTGATAGAAACAATTTTGAAAACAGCATAAATGCCAGGGAGAGGTTCAGACATCTCCACTTACCCTGTCATAATTGGCTTTTGCTAATCACAGGATCTGGGATCAGAAGATACTGTGTATTTGCATAACAGTGCCCCCAAATATTTATAATGCTTTACTTTCAATTTACATTTTTATTACACTTAAATATAACCTTATTAAAGTTTAAAAGTACACAAGCCTTTTATGAAGGGCTTGCACATTAATAATTTCATTATTAAGTGTTTCTCCCCTATATCGTTGGGGAAGAGGACCTCTGTGTTCTAAAATTTACTTTCTTTTATTTAGATTTTTTTTTTTTTTTGTGGTAGTTCCAAAGGCTGCATGGTGTTAAGAGACCATAGGGTAAATTGTATTGCTTATTTCCATTAAATTTTGTTCCTGTGGGTTTGGGACATACCATTTGATTTCTGTGAAGTGAGATCACAGCATGGAATTTTGTGCTCTTGTCCTAGAGGGCAACCATTGCATGTGGATTCCTGTTTGGGAAAAGGAGATGGTAACAAGAGTCACAGAGAACATCACAGAGTCTTGAGTTAATAAATAGCTTGTTCAGTGAACAAGCCACTTGAAAAGTCATCATGCTGTGACTATAAGGCTTAAATGTTTGCAATTTGAAAATCCATTTAGATTGTCCCCTAAACTAGTGAGCCTTGGCCCACAATTTGAATGCAGAATAACTGAACTTTCCCTATATTATTTACTTGCAAATTTTATAATTATTTCCGTTCATTTGGTTTTGAACTGAAACTTTTTTTGTTGTTGTTTCTCTCTCCTCCCACAGAAATGAGTCACAGATCCTCAGATTTCGCCAAGATTATTAACAACGCAGAGAATCTTGTGCGGGAATTGTTGTAAGTTTAAAAAAGACCAAATTATATTGCTTTTGTTTGATACTCTCTAAATCTGGGTGTCCGTTACATTATTTTCTATCTAAATCTTTTAAGATTCTTCCAAATTCACTATTAGTACATAATGCTTTTTATTTGTTGCCCATCCTGTGCTAGTGCTTTTGTTTTTATTTTATGTGATATTTCCAAAGATGTGAATCATTGTATTTAGGAAAGACTTTTCAGCACCGTGGCAGTTAAATTGGCTTGAAAGGGATTTAAATGACAAAGAAATAGTCATCTTTGTCAGTATAATTGAATATTAACTACTTCAGGGGTTCTTAAAGTATAGCTCTCAGATCACCTGTCAGAGTCACCTGTTGGGGGGAATATTTAAAATTCAAGTGCTGGGCCCCACCCAGACCTGCTGAATCAGAATCTCTGGAGAAACTTTATTTTTAACGGGCTCTTTGGGTAATTTTATGTGTTCTAAACTCCAGGAACTGCTGCTTAAGTGAAGTCTCATGGGTTATTTGCATTGCCTTTCCTGCCCAGAGGATACCTTGTTCTTAAATAGATGGCTGTTTAAAGGAGAGGTTTTATATATTATATAAAGGTACTCATATACACCAAACATACAGTAAGCTTGAAAACAAACCACTTTTTTTCTCCTCACAAAAGTAATGCACATTCATGGTAGAATGTTTAGGAAAAAACTGGAATTATCTATAGCCCCACCAGTCAGGGATAATCATTAACATGTCAGTGTCCACTCTTGCATTATTTCATTAACAGAGTTTGAGTTGTACTGATTTTTCCATAACTTTCCTTTTCAAATTGCCTTGATAAAGTGATTCAGGCGGGGCAGGCTTGGCGCTATTTCTGTGAGGAGCGGTGGAAGCCCATTGCAGTATGAATGTTCAGAACTGGTAGTCAGTCATCTGCTTGGCTTCACACGCCTGTCCTTCATGGAGGAGTATTTGGAACCCCAGCCTGGGGAGACGTAGCATCTGACCACATGCCTGTGAGCCTTTTCTGATTGGTGTCCCAGTTCAATTTATGGGCCTATCCTTGCTTCTCCTAACCAAGTTCCTACCTTATACCCCCGCACCTAGCCTCTGTCTGGTTTCCTTTTATCCAGTTCTTGGCTTTGTTAACTGCCCTGCCTCTGAGCACCATAAATCTGGACCCGTGGGGTACCAGTCTTCCCAGCTGCAAAGAACCTCAAGGTTAGAGTCCCTAAGGCCTGGCTGGCTGCTTCACTATCCTACTGAGCATTGAATGTAGACCAGGCATCTTTCAGAACAAGATATTTAGGTACCTACCACCTGTTCCCCAAGACCCTGCCACCTTATTCTGCTCTTTATTATTTTACTTTTGTGTCTGGGAGCTCTGTTCCCCTGGTCAGATAATCTGCCTTGTGCATACCTGTTCCCTAAGTCTGACCTTACTCAAAGGGATGGGTCCACTGTCTGTGGCCTTGTCCCTCTGGAGCTGGCCTTATTCTGCTGCCTGTGGTCATTCTAATCATCATTTTCATTTTGCATCCTGGAGCCGAAGAATTTTGCTCTTTATCTGGATGTATGTTGGGTATGTGATTACATGACTAGGCCTAAAGCATCATCAAAAATCCCTCCCCAGTGTCCATCATTTCCATAGCATGGTGCTTAACATATAAATACTTCCAGGATTTTTGGTTTCAAGTGACAGAATCCCAACTCACTGGCTTAAAGGGAATGTATTACCTCACCTAACAGAAAGTTCTGGAGGATTTAGGAGCTCAGATAACACCAGGAAGGTCGTTTTCCCCATCTCCTGGCTCTGCTTTCTTCTGTGTTTGCTTCACCGATGGCCACCAGGGCTTGCAGGATTAGTTCCTACATGTTTATTCTTTTCCTCTATAGAAACAGTCCCTCCTACCCAGAAGTTTGGGCAAAGGTCCCAGCACCAAATCCCATTGGCCAGATTGGGGCAGGTGCTCACTCCCTCCAGCTGGGGTTCATCATAGTCAAATCACGTGGACTGAGAGTGGCAGACGGGTGGTGTCCTAAAGACATATCAGGGTATTGTCACTACTTAAAGGAAGAAGAGCTTCTGGTCAAACAGTAACCACAGGCTTCTGCGAGTCCCCAGTGAACAGTTGTCCAGGGAATGAATAGATAAATGACTGAATTAGGGAAGCCAAAGTAGCAGTGGAACTTTACCATATTTCTTGTTCTGAATTCACCCAAGATAAAGCACTTGGTAGAGTATTACTCGCTCTCAATCTTTGACCACGTGAGACTATATTTACTGTTACCTGTGCTTCTGCCCAGAGCCGTTCCAGACAACTACAAGGTGATTTTTGTGCAAGGAGGCGGGTGCGGCCAGTTCAGTGCGGTCCCCTTAAACCTGATTGGCCTGAAAGCAGGCAGGTGTGCCGACTATGTGGTGACAGGAGCTTGGTCAGCCAAGGCCGCAGAAGAAGCCAAGAAGTTTGGGACTGTGAATATCGTCCACCCTAAACTTGGGAGTTATACGAGTAAGTTCTGGGAGCTGAGCTGGACAGTGAAACGCTGATGCTGGGTTATCCCTGCCCAGGGCGGTCTGCAGTTTTTAATGCTTAACTCCCCTTGTCAGTAGTTAATTTCATACCATTTTGATTTGGTGGCTGTACTAGTTAAGACTACTAACTAGCTTCTGTAAAAAGAGTTAAGAAGCTAAGTCAGCTGACTTAGCTGAAAAGCCCAGGGGCTGGTTTGGCTTGATTAGGGGCCCCAACAGTGTCTCCAGGTCTTGGTGTCTCCCTGTCTCTCCCATGGTGGCTCCACAGTCAGGGGAAGCTGTCCCCTCTTTCTTGGAAGGTGGCTGCAGCTGCTGCCGATCTTATATTCTCCCAAGTTTCATTGCCTTTGCGGAGCCTTCCCAGGAACAGTCTCATGTCTCCTGTGCCATATTCTCAGTCACTGTGGCCACACCTGAGTCACATGCTGCCTCTGCGCTGCGGTTTAATTGGCTCCACTGGAACCACACGAGCTGAGAACAGGTGAGGGCTGGGCTCCCAGGAAGAAAGTACTAACCCATCAATGGATTTAGGATAGATGGATGCTGGGTGACAAGGAAAAAAACCCAAATATCCCACAGGTCTTTTTAAAAAAATTATTTCATTTTGAGACAAGGTTTCACTGTTGCCCAGGCTGGACTGCAGTGGCTTTTCGCAGGTGTGATTATAGTGCACTGTAGCCTCCAACTCTTGGGCTCAAGTGATCCTCCCACCTAAGCCTCCTGAGTAGCTGGGACTACAGGCGCATGCCACCATGCCCAGCTTCCTGTGTCATTTTTGAAGATTATTTGTACCCAGTAACAGTTGAAGGGTGGGATTGATCAGTTCCTTCCAGGATATTGGTGGTGATGATAATGGAGGGTTGGTAGGGTGCTTTCACTTGTGAAGTGCTTTGGAATCAGTTAGTCTTTCACTGCTGGGGGAGATGTATCAGTCTCCCGGTCAACTGCCACCTACCTACGTAAGAAAAAGAAAAGAGTACGCTTATGAAGTATGAAACTTGTCTTCTGTTATAGAAATTCCAGATCCAAGCACCTGGAACCTCAACCCGGATGCCTCCTACGTGTATTATTGTGCAAATGAGACCGTGCACGGTGTGGAATTTGACTTCATACCTGATGTCAAGGGAGCAGTACTGGTTTGTGACATGTCCTCAAACTTCCTGTCCAAGCCAGTGGATGTTTCCAAGGTAGAGTATAAAAGAGGCTGGGTTGGGGGAACCCAGTGACTCGGTTTCTTTAGGGGCATTTTAATATATCCAAGAACAGGCAGAATCATGGGCGTCTTGGGCCAGCAGAGCTCTGAGGCAGGGCAGCTGTCCATGAGCAGGCTGACAGTTGCTTATCACTGGCTGTCGAAATGCTTTACCTCCTGGTATTCTCAGCCTCATGGTAATGATCGCCTCCCTGGGTCACACTCAAGTCCTTGGGGAACTACCTGCCTTTGAGAGCGGCTTGTAGAAACTTTTTTGGTCAACACATTGGGAGTAACATGTTGCCTTCAAGGGCATAATCGAGCTCAAGGGACCTTTGTGTTGGAACCACCTCATCTCTAAAAGCATCGATGGGGCACACACACTTCACAAGTGGCTCACCAGGGTGGGGCAGGGGGACCAGTACACCAGGTGCATGCAACAAGGGCAGTAATGTCTGTAAAGAATTTACAAACAATAGTTGAAGCATCTGAGTGGTAGTCTGCCCTTGTAATTGTGATAAAAAATACTTATCTTGAGATTTACCAATTTAAACCAATTTTGTTTTGTTTTGTTTTTTGTTTTTGAGACAGGGTCTTACTCTGTTCTCTAGACTAGAGTGCAGTAGTGTCATCACAGCTCACTGCAACCTCAAACTCCTGGGCTCAAGTGATCCTCCTGCCTCAGCCTCCCAAGTAGCTGGGACTACAGGCTTGTGCTACCATGCCCAGCTAACTTTTCTACTTTTTGTAGAGGTGGGATCTCTCTATGTTGCTCAGACTGGTCTCAAACTCCTGGCTTCAAGTGCTCCTCCTGCCTCAGCCTCTCAAAGTGCTGGGATTACAGGTGTGAGCCTCCATGCCTGGCCCATTTTGAGCCATTTTTAAGTGTACAGGTCAGTGGCATTAAGTACATTCACATTGTTATGCAACCATCACTACCATCCATTTCCAGAAATTTTTCATCTTCCCAAACTGAAGCTCTATCCATTAAACAATAACTGCCTGTGGCCGTACTCCCCCAGCCCCTGGCAACCATCATTCTACTTCCTGTCTCTATGCATTTGACTACTCTAGGTACCTGTGTAAGTGGAACCATACAATATTTGTTTTTTGTGACTGGCTTATTTCACTTAGCATAATGTCTTCAAGGTATATCTATGCTGTAGCGTGTGTCAGAACTTCCTTCCTTTTGAAGGCTGAGTAATATTCCATTATATGGATATGCCACACTGTGTTTATAGTCTGCTTTTCGTTATCGCCAGGCACTGGCGAGTCTCAGTAAGGTCACTGTAAACTACTTACCCCCCACTGCCGCCGCTCGATTTTCCTAAAGGTTTCATCGAGAGGCATGGGAGTGGGTTTTATATCTTGCTCAACAAATTTCCTGGAGTACCTTTAAACGTCTGTTGTTTTCTAAAATTTCTTCTCCCTCAGGCAGCTTGTCCCCTCCTTTCTCTGTCACAGCAGTCCCTTTCTCAGCACCTTCTGACTGTCCCTTTATACAAATAAAAAAAGATAAAAAATTCTGTTTTGTCTCTTGGTTGCCAAGAGAGTCAGAGACCCCATTTGAAAGACTGGTGTGGATGCAGAAAGGAGGTGTGGGAGTGGATGTGAGTATGTGCGAGGCCTTGGCAGTGATGGGCTTGGGTGGCCCCTTCCAGGTGAGGACCACGCAGAGACTGTCTTTAGGCCTTGGAACTCTGGATGTGGATTTGCCGTCCCGGATAGAGATGCCTTCAGAGCGTGGATTGCTCCCTAAACAGGAATGGCGTCACTGCCTCGTAAAAATTGTGCTTTGGGTAGAGGTTGGGAAATTTGTGTATGTTTATGAAAAATGACCAAATGCTTGTAAAGCAGCATGTCTTTCTCTTTTTAAGTTTGGTGTGATTTTTGCTGGTGCCCAGAAGAACGTTGGCTCTGCTGGGGTCACCGTGGTGATCATCCGCGATGACCTGCTGGGGTTCGCCCTCAGAGAGTGCCCCTCGGTCGTGGAATACAAGGTGCAGGCCGGAAACAGCTCCTTGTACAACACACCTCCGTGTTTCAGGTAACCCTGGGATGCAGCATTGCCGTGGGTCACTATTTCCTGTCAAAGCAGAGGTGGCGTTTCAAAGCAGAGCGTGCTTCCGTGAGCCACTGACCAAACAGCCCCAGATGTCCTGCCGGGATTCTCTCCCAGCTCACCTCTCTCTCTTGACCCTCTGTCCACTGTTTGATCAGTCTTTCTTCCTGCCCTTTTTGGGGGATGGTGGTGTTTTTTGTTTGATCTTGGTAACCCAGGCCCTGGTGGTTCACCATTAACCCAAAAGCTCTCTGTACGTGAGGTGCCGTGGCCTTCATCTCAAACAACTGGGGCAGCTTTGGAGAAGAACTTTCAATGGTTGGGCACTTTCCTTTCTTTCCCTGCTAGGCCTGCACGAAGCTGGCTGCCTGACAATGCGCCTACTGGCTTGGAAACACCTTTCTGTTTTTTAACGCAGTCTTCAGGGGTTCTGTCAGCCTGGCTTCCTGTCAGCTGTGTGGGGGTGCATTGCAGCACTTCAGGGAGAGCAAGGTGGCCCTGCCTCAGGGTCTTCAGGAGCAGTAATAGGACCATTTTCACTGGGTTGCTGCGGGGCTTAAATGAGTTGATTGTAGATAGGTAGATAGAGACATACTTTTTTTTATATTTGCACTTATTTTTTATTTTTTAATTTAGTTTTATTATTGTTATTTTTAGATACAGGGTCTTGCTCTGTCTCCCAGGCTGGAGTGCAGTGGCACAGTCATAGCTCACTGCAACCTCAAACTCCTGGGTTCAAGCAATCCTCCTGCCTCAGCTTCCCGAGTGCCTGGAACTACAGATGTGTGCCACCATGCCTGGCTAATTTTTCTATTTTTATCTTTATTTTTTATAGAGATGGGGGGGGGTCTCACTATATTGCCCAGGCTGGTCTTGAACTCCTGGCCTTAGGCAGTCCTCCTGCATTAGCCACCCCAAAGTGCTGGGATTATAGGCATGAGCCACCTTGCCCAGCCTATTTTTGCACTTAGTACCTGGCACTTGGTGATTTATAAATGCCGGCTGCTATATTATTATTATTGTTGTGGTTGTTAGTTTCCAGGGTCACAGAAGGGGTGAACACAGGGGAAGAACCAGAATTTATGGATTTATCTTTCCAGGGCAGATATGATGTTAAACAGTGATACTTTATGTGTATAACCCCTTTAATCCTCCCAACCATCCTAGGAGTAGGTACTATTATTCTTCTTCCCATTTTGCAAGTGAGGAAGCTGAGGCCATATTTTAGGAAGGGGCACAGTGGGGATGTGAACCCAGGCAGTCTGACTCTAGGTCCTGGGCATGGGCGCCCAGCACCTTAGTGCTTTGTCTTCACAAGCAGAAGGGTGAGCGTAGATCTGTGTGTGTGAAGGGTTCTGCCTTAGGAGGATGGATCGCAGCTGGAGTCCAGCCCTTCCACTCAACAGGATCCTTCTGTGACGGGTGGAAGTTCTATTAAAGGAGCGCAGGTGATGGTTCCATCTGGGTCTGGACCTTGTCAGAGCTCCCCCTCCCCAGGTGCTGCCTGTGGAAGAAGTCTTCCATATAATTTACCGCAGGAAAGAAAGAAGTTTTTTCAGTGTTAGAATTCCAGTGGAAATTTCCGCTGGGTTTCTGTGCGGTCGCAGAATACAGAGCAGCTCCTCACTTTGTGTCCCCCACTTTCCTCAGGGAGTAGGCGGTCCAGGGCGAGCTCCCCTCGTTTCCAAACCCCACTCTCTTTCGCCCAGATTGAAAGTGTTCCTAAAATGCCTGTGGGGTGGGGGTGGGGCTGAATCCTGTTTCCTACTCGCCTGTCCCACCTGTGGGGCTCTAGGCAGCGGGCAGACACCTGTGGTCACAGGCCAGCTGCCCTGGCCAGCCATGAGAACCCGGCAGGCTAAGTGGTGAGGGTGCAGGTGTGGACCTCAAGTGCCGGACTCCTAGAGAAGGGGCCGAGGCTCCAGGCTGGCAGGAGGATGGAGAGGCCCATCCTTACCTGTTAGAAGGTGGGGCCGGGGCCTGCCTCGCAGTGAGGTGAGTCTTCCAGGGAGGCCGAGGCCGCCACCGGCTTCAGCAGGGAGGAGGTGGGAGCAGACGGGGAAAAGTGCTGTCTTGGGAGAGCTGTCCCACAGCCTGCAGGCCAGTGGGTTGCGGGGCACAGCTCCCGGAAGGGCAGGTGGCACACCCCCAGGCACCTTCTCCAAGAGTTGCCTTGGAATACATTTTTAAAAATGTAATGAACATGAGACTCTGTCTTAAAAAAAAAAAAAAAAAAAAAAAAAAAAAAA